GGGGCTTCAGCGGGAATCGGGCAATGGCCCCAAACTGTACTAGTAGCCATTGTGTTTTTTTACCACCCAGGTACTCACAGAGGGACATATCAATTCCCCTCAAGAATGTCATTGATGAAGCAGAAAAAAATGTTAACTTTATTAAATCTTGCTCCTTCAGAACACATCTTTTTAGTGTTCTGTGGCAAAAATGAGAAATATGCACAAAGCACTTTAGCATACCAAAGTAGTTTTCTCAAAGAAAAACCCTGTGTAACTGAGTTAGGAGCTGAGCTGGTTACTTTTCCAGAGAATGCCATTTTTACCTCAATGACTATGAGACAAACTATAATTATTTAGATTTCAGTATTTGACAAATATTTTCTCAAAAATGAATAAAGTGAACTTATGTTGAGGAAAAGCAACAGAAAATATTAGGTGCCACTCATAACAATTTGAGCTTTCAAATAATAATTAGAATCTTAGAAAATTTGTATTTTCCATTATGAGTTTTACAGCTTCCCAATAAGTGTATCTGATTCGATCAATGTTCATATGAATATTTAAAAAATTTTAAAATATGTCATCATTTAGAATATCTGCTTAACTGAGGGAACCAATATTTCTAAGTGATCAATAACTGGTATTACAAAATTATGCACTGGTTGGGACCAGCAGATAGTGGTTAAGGCACTGGACTCCTACATGGCTAACGTCCTGGACCTGGAGGTTTAAAACTCACATGGGTGTGTATGCATGTGTGCCCCATATCCTGAGGAGAATAGAGAAGAGATTGTGGTATGGCCATCCCCCTAAAGGATGGTTTCTCACTCTGTCTCTCCAATGAGTGTAAGTGCCCTACGGTAAAAAATCTTTTTTTTTTTTTTTAAAGTATGCACTACTAAAAGATTCATTCCAAAATGACAAATGGATTTTAATGTAGTCCAGGAAAAATAGCATTCTACATTGCAATTAACCTTTAAAAAACTACCACCTCTTGGGCCAGCCCTATAGCCTAGTAGTTAAGAGAACTGGATTCCACATGGCTGACTACAAGATAGCTTAGGGAACATGCTGGGTGCATGTGCATGTGTTCCTAGGATCTCCAAGATGGAGAGGTGGGGTAGAAGGGGTTGTGGTGTGACCATGCCCCACTGGGGGTGCTTTCTCCCTCTCTATATGGCAAGTGCACTCATCCTCTGGCAATTAAAAAAAAAAGCAACTTGTCTACTCTTGGTGTAGTATCAAAATACCCACAGTGATCTAAAAAGGTTATTAAAATACTTTTATAACTACATACATGTATGAAGTATACGTCAATCAAAATAATGAAATGCAACAGACTGTAGGTAGAAGGTAGGAGTCCAGGTGTCTTAACACATTTTTAACTTGAAAGCATTATTTGTAAGTAAAAATGTTAGCATGTAATAGATTTATTAACTTAGAAACAACAATATCTTTTAAATGTCTTGTTTTAATTTACTTTTCCTTTATTCATGACAGAGCTCATGTGCATGAGAGAAAGTATCCTCTGGAGGATCTGGTTACAACACGATCCCCTTCCTCCAGCCTGTTGGATCTTGGACACTCGTGTACATGCCTAGCGTGTTTCAGGCTCACTTGGCTGCAGGTTAGAACAGCAGTCACCACGTGGGATCTGGCTTCTCTTGAGTAGCCCATTACCACTATACCATAGAACTCTTCCTGCTCTATTTTCTAATGTCATAAGCATCATTACATATAAACCACATAAACCAAAGCTCTTTGGAGTTCAATAGTTTTGAAAATGCATCCTGACACCAAAATGTTAGACAACTGCAGTCCTAGAAAAACCCAACTTGCCAAAACTAACAAAAGAAACAGAAAATGTTCATAGTCCTTAAACTCAATCCATAGTTAAAAGCCTTTCCCTAAAGATAATTCCAGATCCAGGTGGGTTCACCTGGATGAATACTTTCTAATTATTCCCTATAGATGCGTCCTAAAAGAAACTCATTTCTCAGGTGGTCTGAATTTTTGTTTCTTGAAAATGATACTGGAGCGTTCTAGGAAGCAATGCACTGATCTGTTGTGGACAATGTGTAGCGAACATACACAATGGAAAGGAAAAATGCAGTCTTGGTTCAGGGCTGGGCTCTGATCTGTCAAAGCGAGTCATGGTACCTACTTGTCAGTGATTGGTTTAGAAAATCGGGACACAGGGACAAGTTAAGGATCTTGTATATGTCAAATTTCACACTAATAAGAAGACATATGCTGAGGCTTCTGGGAAATTTTCCTTCCAAGAGAGGTAATAGGAAGTAGTGTTTTATTCTGGATAATGGTATCTACAGAAGCTGGGCTGTACCTGAAAAAGAAAGTCAGCACACAAAGGAGAGAGTTGAGGGAACTACAGGTACACAGAGCTGGAGTAACAACTAAACCAATACTGAAAGCCCGACCTACCTTTCAATTTGTAGTGAGCTCCTTTCCACATCTTTGAACTGGGTGTTGGCTTTCTTGCAACTGTAAACAGCCCAAGTAAAGTAATATTTGGAATTCATCATTTAAAAAAATGCTGCTTTGTATTGCAAATACATACATGTGGCCACTTCCAAATTTATAACTTAGAGAAATCTGCATCTTGTCTAAAGAAAGGTGTACCTTACTTTGGCCATTCACTAAAGTTACCATGGTGACAATTGTGGCATACTGTATTAACTAGTATACAATTGAGAAGTGGTGCGTGATAAACTCATTAGCAGAGAGTAAACTCATTAACAGTATTACAAACACAGAGGCACTACCAGGTGCCTACTTAAGTTCAGTGCTAACCTGGGACTGTTGATTTTATCTGGTCAAAAACAGGTCAAGAGCAGTTGCTTCAAGATAGGACCAGAGATCTGGAGTGTTCTTGTATTGGAGCAATTGTGTATGCATCCATACAATATTCCTGAAAGCAAAAAGGAACCCTGTACGAAGGGACTTCTCCTTCCTGGCAGTTTACTGGGCACAGAAACCACATAGTTTCTTAAATGTCTTCCAAACAAGATAGATTCATCTCTAGTCATTAGTTGTTATATCTTGAAAAATTACAAAGCAATCTAGAAATCAATCCTCTTCCATCAAATTGCTGTTTTCTATGGTATGAGATTTAATTATGTTTAGTTGCCATTAATAAGCACATATGAAAGGGGGATAATAAAATCAAGATTTCATACAAGGAGTGCTGATGACACGCCCAGGAAGCACTGTGCAGCCATGCTCTTACTTTACAAGGTGCTTTTTCCACCCAACAGGGGGAAATGCAACCACATGGTGAAACTCATGGACTAAAAGTCAAAGAAAAAAAAAGTTAAAACCTTCAAGAGGAAAAATTCCAAATAAACTGCACTTTTAAGAACATGGAAGAGGTTTTATGGGGACCAGATTTCATGTCCGCAGTCCCTTGAATTGCAGGGCTGGCTGCACAGTGCAGCAGGTAAGCCCTGTGCATTGGGAACCAGGTCTCCTATAGACAACCATGATTGAAATTCCAGCCCCAACAACTTGAAAAACATGACAGGTGCATGCACATGTGTGCCCAAAGTCCCGACAAGAGGGAGAAACAGAGGAAAAGGAACTGCAACATGACCATATCCTATTGCAGCAGCAGGGTGGGAGGAGCTCTCTCTCTCTGGCTAGCTAGCACATATTCCCTCTTCAATTCCTTTCAAGAAGTGCTTCATTTAACCAGCTCGTTTCATGTCACTGCAGAGAAATACTGTCCTTTATGACTAAAGACCAATCACTGTGTTTTCAGTTGTGCCACTGTGGTGTCAGAAGGAAGACCAGATTGCGTGGGACTCTGATACAGAAGGCATCCGTACCTTGCTGGTTACAGTTGTTACTAATAGCTAAGATGATGCATTAAAGGCTTAATAAACGATTTAACCAAAAAAGTACACCTATTCTCACTGTAAGTAGGTCTGCATTTTCTTCAAGTACTGCAAGTGAAATCGTTAGGTTAGTACACATCCCATAATGAACAAGTCAGCCTTTGTCTGATTCTGCTGACCATAATCCAAATGTTTTTTCCTTTTCTTGGTATTGTAATTTAGTGTATAATTGAACACATACACATTTTTGTCTTTTTATGTTCCATCTACTATTATATTATCAATATGTAACATTCAGATAGGAAACTGTGAAAAAGATCTTCTTTTAACATGAAATATGTATATAAATAAATAGACATTTGTTTATAGGCCAAAGCTTGTTTGATGAAAACTTCAGGACCATGTAGGAATATTCCATACAGAGCTTAATACAGTGCATTCTAATTCTATTTTCTTACTTTGACAAAAATGGACAGAAGGCAAAATGAAAAAAAATTTTATTTTCTGTGTTTTATCCACTGTCAATACTGTATTTTTGATGCAATATCTTTGCCAAAATGAAAAAAAAAAAAGACCAAAATCTCAGCTTTTATTTTCCATTTTAAACAACTACAGTATTTACAAGCTGTTTGGAATAACACTCAGACACACACACACTCAACAGACACGCGCAAGTACACATATCCTTACCTCTGGTTTACAATGAATGCTGGTAAAGGCAATGAATACTTTCCAGAGCCCATTATCAGAAAAGGGAAATGCATTTCCTTCCTTACATCTACTTTCCTGAACCATTTTTAATCTTCTTCCTTCCATTTCCTCATGCAGAGCTCATTGCCAGACTTGTATAGGGTTAAAATAATCAGGTTTACAATGTATTTCTACTTAAACTATAAGCTTTTGAAAAGCATGAGCAGACATAAGCCCCCCGCCACCATTTCTATTGTTTTGGTTATAGAATCAAGCATCCTATGTAAAAAAAAAAAAAAAAAAAGGAAAAATCGTGTTCATCCACAAGTACACTAAACCCCAGAGTCATCCAGAGCAGCCATCTATCTCATTCTGTACTACTTCTCTGTGATCTGTGCAGGCAACACCCAGGAACGAATCCTCATCACAGTGTTAGAAGACCTTGGTTTCTCTTAGCGTGGTTCTGCTGAATCATAAACTATCACATATAGAGCTGAGGCATAAGAAAAAAAGATATAACCCTATATAATAGGTATAAGTATTAGAACAAAGTTGTCATATAACCTTGCAGTGATGGTCAGCTCTATACCCCCAAAGAATGTTATGTTGATTCCACAGAATGGCAGATAATGAAGTTCGGCTCACAAATAGAAGTTATTGCCCTAATTCAGAAAGAACGTGTGGCTTATAGGAAATAAGGAGAAATTCTTATCACACATAATTCTAGACAGATGACTTTGGAGAGGTGATTCAAAGCAGAAAACATACTTCTGTTTCAAGCAAAATTTATACGCCACTCATGTCCTACCAGATCTATTTGTATAATAATTAATTCTTTTCCAATCAGAGTTCTTACCTAAACATTTAATAAGTTAAAAATGAGGAGGCCCGGGTGCATATCAACCAGGTTTCTTAAAAAAAGAGAGATGAAGATAACAGGGGCTGGTTTTTAATACTTAAAAAGAGAGAGGAAAAAAAAAAAGCTATACATAGTCCCTGTAATATTAACATTTATGCGATACAATGTATTATCTAATTTTCCTCTTTCCCCAGATAGGTAAAACTCAATATTCACATAGGAGTGAAACAAAAAGTTAAAAGCCTTGGTTGACATTATTCTCTCCACACATTTTTGAATGAAAGGAAAAGCCTCTAGAATAAAAGATATTTTTACGTTATCTGAACAATCATACCAAAAGAAAAAGTTTACTGGGTCTCTGTCCAGCTTTTAAAAGTAAGTTTACATATTTATGTTACATTATAAACAAGAATAAAAACTGAGGACTTAACAATGAACACACAAACAAAAAATACCCAGAAAGGGTTTTGTCCATATTCATGAAAAAGTAATTAAAATAAATATAAAAGTAATTAATCTGGCAGCACTTTATAGTTTAATAACTAATTAATATAAATTCAAAGAATGCTCACAAAAAATTACTATTAATTTGTTCTCAAGTCATACATTTATTTAGGAGAAAGGATGTTCATAAATTAGCTAAAAGAAAGAGATAACTGTAGACACTGGGCAAATCATAAGTTTAGAAGACCTAGCTCTAGACAAATGATTCAGCACAGCAATCCACCAAATGAGGCATTTCTCAGCAGAGGCTAAAGGATGTTGCTCAGAATCAAAGTGGAATTTATTAAGGCTAAATTATCCTTGTTTAGATGTGAGGCTATTTTTTATATTTTGATATGAGATAGAAAAAAATAATCCAGAAAGAAAACTACATCTTAATAAGCTATAGATTCCTACATAAAATCTTTTTCATTGCCTGGCATTTTAGTACACAGAGTAATCTTCCTTTTCTCACTCAGGCTGGAAATACTGTCTGACTACATCTCTTTCAAGGATTAGTAGAAGTATTTTAGAGATACTTGAAAAATACTTCACATCTAACGGAATTGAATTCTCCGGTAACAGAAATTCAAAAGAGGAAAAAAAAAAAAAACCCACTATTATGTTGTTCACTAATTTCCTAAAAGGTAATTAATTTCCTCTTATTTTAAAAAATATACATATAGCCTGGCCATCTACTCTCCCAAGTTCTTTAAATATCAACATCTTTTCTCAATCTAGATTCTTGGAAAAATTAAAGTTTTTTTCACAAAAAGAACATTTAAAGTTTTATCAAGTGTTGAAAATGGTATAAAAAGGATTTACAACAACATATAAGTTGAAAGATTAATCAAAAGCTTAATTTGAAGTTATAAAATATTTTTGCCACTGAATTAGAGCAAAAAAAGGGAGAAAAGGCAACAATTTATAATTCATTCCAGGATTGTCTTTCTCTCAAAGGAGGTGGGGAAATCAAATAAGAAAAACCAGAAAGGATTTTAATCATACAACTCTATTTGAAGGAAATAAATTTTCAAAAGTGTTTTAATTACATCTTTTACTTTCTAGTTATGGAACTCTGAAAGTTTTGGCAATTTTAAGACACTAATATATGCTGGTATCTTGCACATCAATGAAAAAATCAGTTAAGCAGAGAATCTAAATGCATATTCTCACTATTCTCCAAGGGGGGAGGAGGGGCTAGAAACAAAACATTTATGATCAATCTAATTAATGAAAAGTGTATTCATTTCTATATGATAATTAAGAGCAAAATACTAAAATAAGAATCTTTCTTCAATTATCATATGTTCCTTGATGCAATTAGAAAAGTATTATGACTTTAAAGACGTAGCTTCAGACTTAAAAAATAAGAACAGGGTTTCTCCTTGGAATCCTAATTTATAAATTCTCTAATTGAAGAGTTACATGATAACAAAGTCCAACTTGTTTTGAGAAGTTGTCCATCAACTGCTGTCCAACTCAAGACCCAAAAAACAGACTCTATATAAAATCTAGTCTTCCATTTGAAATCTGACTTTTCAGAGTATGTGAGGCGTTTAACAATGTTTGAAGGGCAAGGGACTAGGAATAAAAATAATTCTAGCCCTTCTGATTGAGTCATCTGAAATTCAGATTTTTTTCCTGTGTGGGAAAATCAATTATCCTCCACCTAAAACAGAAAGACTACTTATTGCTAGCCTAGGCAATTAAAAGATAGTATTTATTTCAGAAAGGGAACGTGCAGGGACATAATTCCTTTGAGAAGATTTAAAAATATATGTATATAGACAGGTCATATATTCAGTTTCAGAAAAACAGTGACACTGAACCTAAATGGCATACTACAGATTTGCCCAAATGAGGCAAATACAGAATGACAGAATCAGGAAAATACATGGTCAATTCAGAAAGGGAACTTCTGTATAAAGACTCAGTAAATCACCTGACCAGTATTTTTAGATAGTAAATTTTGCAAGGTGTGAAGTCTATGGAGATGTCAACACAAGGCACATTAGGTGCTGAATGACCACAAAAATTTTAAATTAGAAAAAGAGAAAATAAAAAGGTCTTAAAGAGAAATGCAGTAAGATTCTATTAGCTATTTAAATTTGCAGTGTGCATTCCTTCTACTGCAATGCTATGTTATACTATGAGATCTACATTAACCTGTCCTCTCCTCAGAAGATTCTTTAAACCTGTGCTGTCCAACACAGTAGCCACGGGGTACACGCAGCTACTGAGTACTTGAAATACGGCTAGTGCCACATGTTGAAATAGTAATACCTTAGATATACTGGGTGAAATAAAATGTATTATTGGAGCTAATTTTATCTGCCTTTTTTTTTTTTTTTAAATGTTCTATTTGTGGTGGTAGAAAGATGGCTGCTCCTAAATGCTCAGAGGAGGTGCACAATTTTCTTTGGAGTTTCACATCAAAAGGGAAAATTTTTTTCTGAGGATTTAAAAATATGCTACAAGTTACAAATTAAATCTAAATTGCAGTTCCCATGTAGCTCGATTGTAAATCTGAGTTATATATTTCCCTGAATACACGTTTTAAAAAAAATTTAAGTTATGAGACAATATATGAATTAAGTCAATTTCACAGTTATAAATATTTCAAATTACGGCTACACACTATAAATTATAGAAAATAAAATTCAAGTAATAGACAAAGAAGAGAGGGGAAAACAAAAAGCAAAGTTATTCAAAAGGGATATGACAGTAAGAACTGCACCATTTGGATCACTTTGAAAAAAATTTCACTTGGTTAACTGAACTGCATGTGAAGAACTTTGAGAGCTAGGAACTCTTAAAATAAATAAAAGGAAATCAAATATTTTCTTTAAGTTCTTGAATGACCATCTTCTTTGAAGAGCAAATGTATTTTCTTCCCAGAGAAGACTCCAGTGGAGCCTGCCCGACAGAGGGGAGCAGAGTGCAGGGGCTCACGCGCTGGTCGGAGGTCATCTCGGGTGTGGACACAGGAGCTGGCAGTAGTGTTCACGTGACCATCAGCTCTGGGGAATGTCAATGACGAAGCTATGTGGATCTCAAGATCTAGTGCTCACTGTAAAGAAAACATCCGACGTGCTGCCACGAGGCATAGGCTACTAACAGAAAAAGGAGCAGCACAGTTCCTGCTACCTATGTTTACAAGGAAAAGGGGAGGGGGTAATCCCAAAGGCAATTTAAATAATGGTATTTTATTTTTATATATAAATAAATGTTCTGAGAAATCTCAGACTTTAGTGCATTGCTGTAAAAAATTAGTGCAGTTTTTCTTTAAAGTTTTAGCGCTCAAGGAATAAGATAAATCTGTCTGTTCATAGTCTCTTTCACTGTACATTAAACTTTCATACTGCTATGTGTCAAACTGAATGTTTCTACACTGGTGTGTTTTTAAAAATCAAGGTAAATGGATTTCATGTTCTATGACAAAACATGGCAATTATTTTTTGGCAAAGAAATTAGAAAAATATGAGATCATAGTTTAGAAATGACAAGTTTGTTGATTTAAAGCATAGGCAATGCATAAGAAAAACTTCTTTTTAAGGATGTAATTTAACAGAACTTTATCCTTCATGCAAAATGTTTTCTCGGCAGCTAACTTAAAAAAATATTTCAGCTTTATTTGGGATGGAGACAGTGACGGGGGTCAGGGTGAAGGAGAGGCGCTTAATTAACCAAGCCCACTCTGTTTTCAAGTCTCTCCCACATGGGGTCAAAGTGATACCTGTGGGCGTCTTCCGTATTTTCCTCTTTTTCCAAAGTCTTGGAATCGAGGGGGAAATGAAATGTAGCTGTAAAACACTGGCTCACACTTCAGCCCCAAGTTCTAATACCCCAGTTTCAATAACAGTCACATATTTGTCATCAATCTGGACCAGGAGCACTGCCTTGTCGATGTGGGATCGAGTCCCTGGATCTCTGCTGCAAGGCACCCATCGGTGAATCACCTAATGAATCAGAACAAAACAAGAAATTAACAATGGACTCAAATGTACTCAGAAACCCTTATCTCCACTTAGGATTAGAAGTAGCGTTCTCTTTGACAACTAAACACAAAGTGTAAATCAGATGGAACCATGCATGAGTGAGTCAGAGTCCAGTTACCTTCCCAGGAGAACTTACATGGCCTTCCATGCCCTCCTGAGGGCTCCAGTCCTTCCAGCTGTTTCTCCCAGCTCTCAACCGAATTCCCTCATCAGGCCACTGCAGTTCTTTCCTTTTTGACAAGTTGATCCCTTCCAGAATCTGACTGGGATCCACAATCTACATTACAAACAAAAATGGATCATTTCGGATTCAATTTTCTTGATATAAAAACATATAATCCCAAATGAAATTTCTTTCATAAAACTCTTTGTGTCTCAAGTCGTCCACTGCCTATAGAGGGGGCCCAAAAAGAAAGAAAGAAAGAAATCTAAAGAGCCATCTATCTCCCAAATTCTTTTCAGCCTACTGTTAGACCTTACTGTGATAGCCACATGACAATGGCTGTCCAGGGAATGGGTACTGCCACCACAAAAATTGTTTGCTTTTGACTTTTAAAACTCAAAAAATAAGGTAATTGTGTCTGTTCAGAGTCTCTTTCACTGTATGTTAAACTTTCATACTGTTATGTGTCAAAGTGAATGTTTCTACACCGGTCTGTGAAAAACTATTTTTCAGCATTCAAAAATGTTCTATTATTCAGATGAAATACTATAAGGTGTGTATCCATAAGAGCCCTTCCCTCAATGAATAACAAAGACAAACGAGTAGCAAGAACAACAGAGCAGAGGCCTGGGCTCACTCACTTGGACTCGGTAAATCACTTCCCCTTTGGGGGCATGGGGATTGCTGGCAGGACTCAGGGCACTGCTAGGCTGTGCATCGGAGGCACTGCTCTGACCGCCCTCTGTCCCGAGAAAGCCCACGAGAGTGTGATGTTTGCAGGCTGGGATGCTTTGGCTGGAGCTGCTGGAGGAAGGCAGGCCGTGCTGCACGCAGGCCAAGCCACTCTGACTGCAGGGTTCCATCTGGTTCACCATAGAGAGGCGGGACTGGATGGATGACGGCAAGTTTCGAAGTGATATCTGACTGGTGGAAGAGCGCCGGCAAGGCACAAACCCTGTGGCAGACATCCGGAGGGACGAGTGCCGGCTGCTGTAGCAGTAGGAAGATTGGCTGGCCACCGAGGCCCGAGCAGGGGACTGCCTGACCAGGCTGGACTGCACAGAGTGCGCGCTGTGGCTTGTGCCTAGGAGGAGAAACAACAGAACTCACTCTGTGTTCAAGGACTTGAAACAAAGCTTGTGCTTTGTGGCTTCTAAGACTGTTACCTTTAAGCAATTACTTGGTGATAGAACTTCATACTTATCCTTGAAACTTTTATGGTTATCAAAAAGAAGTAAGTATCGGAGCTAGCAGGTGGCATAGTGGTTAAGGCTCTGGACTCCCACATGGCTAACCGTGGTTGGAGTTCTGGACCTAGTGGCTTGAAAGTCACACTGGGTGCATGTGCATGTGTGTCCAAAATCCCTAGAGAAGAAAGGAGAAGGAGCTGTGGTGTGGCCATCACCCCAGGGGGTGATTTCTTACTTTCTCTTTTTCTGTTTTTCTCTGTCTCTCTGGCAAGAGCAAACGCCCTACAGCAAAAATCTCTCAAAAACAAAACAAAACAAAACAAAACAAAAACACCACAAAAAGTAAGTATCTGAGATCTGTTTTCTTGAGTGGTTTTTATAATATAATTTTACTTGCTAAGACTTTTAAAATTAAAATTCTGAGGCATAAGAAAGGTGCATGGAGGGAACCAGCAGTTAGCGTAATGGCTATGTCGCTGGACTCCCACGTAGTCGACCGCGGTTCGTGTCCCGGACCCGGTGGCTTAAAACTCACGCCGGGCGCGTGTGCGTGCGTGCCCAAGATCCCGAGAGGAGAATGGAGGAGAAGGGATTGCGGCGTGACCATCCCCCCTGGGGGGTGATTTCTTGCTTTCTGTCTCTATGTCTCTCTCTGTCTGTCTGGCGAGCGCACGCGCCCTACAGTGAAAATCTCTAAAAAAAAAAAAATAAAAAAAAAAAAAAAAAAAAAAGAAAGACATAATGAAATAATTTGTAGCAAGTATCAGGATTTAAGGTTAGAATAAATCTTTTTTTTTTTTTTTAAAGTTTTTGCCATGGGGCATATATGCTCACCAGAGAGAGAGAGAAAGAGAGAGGGAGAGAGATAGTGAGAGGGAAAGTGAGAAATCACCCCCAAGGGGATAACCATGCCACAATCCCTTCTTCATTTTCCTCCTGGGATTTGAGCAATCACACACATGTAGCCAGTGTGATTTTCAAGCCACCACGTCCAGGACTTGAACCGTGGTCAGTTATGTAGGAGTTCAGAGCCTTAACTACCATGCCCAGGTTGGGATATATCTTAAAATATCATTCGTAAAGATATTTCAAAATAACAGTAATCCATATCAGAAATGAAAAAACAAGAATACTTCTTTAATATATAAGAAATGAGGTACTAGTGGGTGGCATGGTGATTAAGGCTCTAAAATCCCACATGGCTAACTGTGGTTCGAGTCCTGGACTTGGCAGATTGAAAAATCACGTCAGGTGCATGTGCATGTATGCCTAACATCCTGGGAGGACAAGGGATTGCAACATGGTCATCCCTTTTGGGGGGAGATTTCTCACTTTCCCTCTCACTATCTCTCTCCAGTGAATCATGCACCCTATGGCAAAAACTTAAAAAAAAAAAAAAGTGTGTGTATGTGTGTGTGTGTGTGTATGTGTATATATATACATATATATACACACATGCACATATATACACACATATACATACACATGCATATATGTATGTATATATACATATACATATAATTAAATAGCATATATAATTGAATAGCTCATAGAAATGAGACAATTAGAAACATTTATTTAATAACTGAATGATCTCACTTGCATGTGGAATCTAAAAATGTAGAACTCATAGAGGCAGAGAGTAAGATGGTGGTTGCCAGAGGCTGAGCGAGAGAAGACAGAAGAGAAGGGAAGAAGAGCTGAAATGCTGGTCAAAGAGTATAAAGCTTCGGTTAGACCAGAGAAGTAGGTTCTAGGGATCAGTTGTTCAGCATGGTGACTGTAGTCTGCTTAAATTGCTAAGTAAGTAGATCTTAAATGTTCTTACCATAAAAAACTAGCTTATTTAATCATTTTACAACATATTAATATATTAAAAAACCACTATGTACACAACAAATATATAATTTTTATTTGTCAATCAATTTTTAAAAGTATAATATGTACTAAGGGCCTACTATGTGACAAGCTCTGTAACTATTATTACCCAAAGTACACTAGTACTTTCAATCTATTCTAATAACAAGCTACAATGCCCATGGGAGAGAGCAAATACCACACTGTGCTTTTCATATACCTTAAGAGATTACTACTAAATACAAATTATCAGTGATACTGAATAGCATGTTCTTCTGTAACTGTTTGCAAGAGGCTTAATGTGATCCTTTAAAAAATTATTTAATTTTATTAATTATTACTATTTTTAACTTTGCTATAGGGTACATGCATTCGCGAGCGCGAGACAGACAGAAAGCTAGCTGCCAAGTCTGAGACTCGAACTGTGGCTGGCCATGTGGTAGTCCAGCACCTCAACCACCACGCCACCTGCTGGCCCCTTAATGTGATTCTTCAGTCCTACAGCAAAAACCTCTTAAAAAATTATCTAAAATATTGACCACACATTCATTTAGACTCTTAATTCCAATTCCATTGTATTTTAAAAATTTAAATAAATTTAAATTACAGCTGCTTCATTCATTAGAAACAGTGGGGTAAGGACAGTGCTAAATCCCTGACCCACCACATGGAAACAGATGTCTACTGCATGCCGGGTAGACAGTATGTCTTGTGTCAAAGGTAAATTAGAAAAGTCATACTATTGAGGGCTTTGGGATAGGAAAAAAAATTTTTTAAATAGGATACAAAAAGTAGGAATCAAAGGGAAAAGATTAGTAAATTGCTCTACGCTAAAAAATTAAGAGAATGAAAAGCCAAGGGACAGAATGGGTAAAGATATTTGTAGTCTAGGAAACTGACAAAGAACTCAAATCCAAAATATAAAATACATTGGGTTGTTGGAAAAGTCATGATGGATTTCTGCATAGAAAAATATGGAAAAACACATCATGATTTTTCCAAAGACCCAATAAATCAGTAAGAAAAAAATAACCAAGTAGGAAATAAGGCAAGAGACTTAAACAGGCACTTTGAAAGAAGAACAGCTGGTAAGCATAATTTAGGAAATCCCAATCTCAAGTATCAAAACAACGTAAATTAAAACAAAGAAATTAGAGACTACTCTTTCTCCTGTCCCCCTGAGCAAGCTGGGAGCAGAAGCGGGAACTAATAAGATAAGCATTCCTACACATAAGTTACCAACCGGTTAATAAAACTTCCTGGTGGGAACCAGCAGTTAGCGTAATGGCTATGTCACTGGACTCCCACGTAGTCTACCGTGGTTCGTGTCCCGGACCCGGCGGCTTAAAACTCACGCCGGGCGCGTGTGCGTGTGTGCCCAAGATCCTGAGAGGAGAATGGAGGAGAAGGGATTGTGGCGTGACCATCTCCCCTGGGGGGTGATTTCTCGCTTTCTGTCTCTATGTCTCTGTCTGTCTGGCGAGCGCACACGCCCTATAGGGAAAAACCTCTTCCAGAAAAAAAAAAAAAAAAATCCTTCCTGGTAAAATTTTTTTTTTTTTAAGAATTATTTTACTTTATTTACTTATTTCAATTTGATCAGAGAGGGACAGAGTGTGAAAGAGAGAGATTGGGAAAGTAGGAAAGCAACTCACCAGGTCCAAGACTCGAACCACAGTTGGCCATGTGGGAGTCCAGCGCTCTTAACCACCACGCTACCCGCCGGCCCCTTTCTGATAAGATGTTTGTCATTACGTATCAAGAATCTTATTCTCTTGGGAATCAGCAGTTAGCGTAATGGCTATGTCGCTGGACTCCCACGTAGTCTACCGTGGTTCGTGTCCCGGACCCGGCGGCTTAAAACTCACGCCGGGCGCGTGTGCGTGTGTGCCCAAGATCCCGAGAGGAGAATGGAGGAGAAGGTATTGCGACGTGACCATCCCCCCTGGGGGGTGATTTCTCGCTTTCTGTCTCTATGTCTCTCTCTGTCTGTCTGGCGAGCGCACGCGCCCTACAGTGAAAATCTCTCCAAAAAAAAAAAAAAAGAATCTTATTCTCTTATATTTTGACCTACTGATTGAATTTTAAAGTCTCTAGCCTAACAAAATAAAAATTACAAAGATTATGACTTTATGTCTGAAGAAACCAAATCATTATTCAGC